TTATGGTATATTTAAAATTAAACTCTATAGTGTATATAATGTTATCCTTTGACAAAAGCATATTTAAATTTGCAGAAAATTAAAGCATAATGAGTGGGTGGGTTTAAAAATTTGGATATATAATTTTTCCTCACTGAAGTAAAGATTCTTTATCTGTAAAATAACAGTTCTATTCTATTACTTGTTTTTCTAAGTGATCCATGGGTCCTGGGGTGTCTGTGGATGACTTACAAGGTTCATTGTTAGCGTAATTTACACATGTGGAAAGTTTCCAAGTTGGCCAGGAATCCAAGGCTTTAGTGGGAGAAGTTTCAATTTTGACATAAATGACTTCTGGGTAATATACACTGTTTTGTTTCTTAAAGAAAATATTAAAAAAGAGAAAGTACTCCATTCCCTTCAAAACATTTTGAAATATATGGTAGTCTAAAGATAAAGACAGGGTAATTTTGACCTTATGCTGTCAAAACACTAAAATATTATTTTGTTATTTGGAAATTGACTAGAACTTTTATAAATTTTTACAGAGCAAGATTTGGAAAATGAATAGAGAAAAAATGTATCAAAGATATTTTAGAAGTTTTTGTAATTATATGAATTTTTGATTCCTGCAGATTGAGTGAAGTGATAGTATAAATTAACTTCAAGGTCTTAAGATATAACATACCATAAATAGAATAATAATCATTAAATTATTTTTGAAGATTTCTAGAATCTATACGTAATAGATTGTAAATTCTGAAGCTATCTTTATTATAGCTAATGTATAAACAATTTCCATCATTTAGTCAGGCAATTAAATTTTCTCTGATTTTAAATAATATGAATATAGTTTTTATTTAAATACGTAATTGTAGTTTTGAGTTATACTATGCTGCCAATACCTTATCAGTACAACTGAATTTATAATACAGGCTGATATATCATGTTTTTAAGTTTTTTCCTTTAGAATTATGCATTATATTGCTTATCACCAAAATATTACTATTTTTATTGATTTGATATATTTAAAATTCATGAAGAAAACCAACAGTATAATTTATTTAAAATCAAATTGAATATAGTATTTTATAAATCCTATGCTTAGTAATTTTAAGAGATGACACTTTCCCAATAATGTGACACGTGATCACAAACTATGTTCAATGTTTTAAAATTTCTCACAATAAAGGCATATTGCCATTAATGCCCTTCAAAATATCGATCCCTGTTTCAAACATGCTTATCTCATACCCTTGCCCCTTTCTGGAGCAGTTCGGGAGCCTCTCTCATCAGTGCTTTAAGTCATGCTTTCTTGGGTTGTCTTAATGTCCTAAAGTGATTCAAAATATCAATTTTTCCATGCACTTTGAAGAAAAGCCAGAAGTTGTGTGATGCCAGATTTAGTGAATAAGGTGGATTTTTACTTCACATGAATTTCCACAAACATTTTGATTCAGTTCAAAAATTAAGGCACTCACCACAGTACAGTTACAGACACTCAAAAAGGAGCACTTTGAGAACTGTTTCAGGAACTATATGTATTTGAACTGAGAGGAAGTATTTTGAGGGGGACTAATATTGGTATGTCTTTGACTGTGATGCATTTTTAAATATTTAAACATTCATTGTATTTTAATGAGCATATCCCATGCTTTACAATTAAACCATTATTTATATACATCTTTATAAAAATAATTGTCTACTTATATATATTGTCCTTTCTCAAATTTTTCTCCATTGAAGTTAAGTATATATTTTTTAACAGACAATATATTGAAGTCAGTAACAAAGCTTGATCTCTTAAGAGTTGATTCAAATTTTCTTTGAAGTAGATCATGCTAGTTAGCACTACCATTTTGTTAACTTCTGTGGTCTGTTCAAAACTAGAGTATATGACTGAAAGAAGAAAATCTCACGGTACAAGAAAATGTCATTTTGTTTTAATTCAGAGACTGTAGGGTATTCTTTATTTTTATAAATAAAAGAGATATTAACAAAAGCACAAAACCTTTCTAGAGAGGAAAGAAAACTTATGGTATGTGGGGCAAAATTCATCTATACACATTGGCACAAGGTGGTTTAATGTTGACTCCAACAATATAGTTCTGTCTTGAAAGAGACCATGTAAGTGTTTTATTAAGAGGTTGCAGTTAGAAAATTTGGAATCAAAATATGTTTTCTAAATGAATTTAGTACAATTAATTTTTAAATTTTATTCCACATTTTAAATATGCAAAAAGTTTTAAATTTGGATTTACTTTAGCGTAATAAAAAACACTTTTCATCAGTGTAGTAGATAATGCATTCTTCTGAGAAAATAAAGTGCTTATCCTTATTGGTTTAAGTACATCATGAAGAATGTGTGTGTGTGTGTGTGTGTGTGTGTGTGTGTGTGTGTGTCTTAGAGAGAGAGACAGAGAGTTTTGTATGTGAGAGAAAGAGACAGGGAAGGAGGGAGGCATGCAGGGAGAGGACTTCATGTTTTAGTAAGGCAGGCTTTAAACATCATCTAATTTTGACTATAAATATGGTAAAAGTAAAGCTTGAAATATGGAATCATGTTACCAAGGCCTGAAATTTGGCAACTTGTTAGTAGTGGAGATAAATCATATTTTAATCTCATGGTTCCAATTTTCAGTCACTCTAAACAGTGGATCTTGATTGATAGTGATTTTGTCCCTCAGGGGACATTGGCAGTGTCTGGAAACTTTTGTGCTTGTCACAACTGGATGAGCTACTAGTAAGCAGATAAGCTTCAGAGATCCTGATAAATACTTTCCCATGTACAGAATGACTTCACATAACAAAGTCCAAATGTCCACATTGCTAAGTTTGAGGAATCTTTCCAAAAACTGGAATACATTCTAACAATATTGCTAAAGAAAGAACAGTTAATCATTCACTTCTGTGTTGAGTTTGAGTAAAATTCAATGTCTGAATTTTTAACCCCAATTATGTAAAATGTTATGTTGATTAAAAGTAACTATGTCTCTGTGTCACTTTCTCCTAATTATATATATCCCCCAAATTGTCTAAAATGTTTACAATTTCACAAAGACTGCACTTTAAACATAAGCAATGTATCCTAGTGTCTTTGTCAGCTCCTAAGTGTCGGTGCCAGAACATGACCACAATCATGAAGTTATCATTCAGAGTCGGCAAAAATCAGTGTTATCTTTCATAAAAGTCATATCCACATTTATTTAATGTTGGGTCATAAAACTTTCCTTTAAAATTATTTTGTGGATATTGTAGTTAGGCTGACATAATTACTTTAAAGTAATATTGCACATGATTCATTCAGGTGTTGGGTACCATTGAAAGCATTTATATTCATTATCTCTTAACTCTTGCAATCTCTTTGTAAAGCTGCTGTAACAACCACTCTATAAATGTAGGAACAAAAAGTCAGAGTTATTTGTGTTTGAACACTCAGCTGAGGCTCAATTTTAGGTCTGCTTGGCATCAAGATCTTTCCTTATTTAATTATTTTAGAATTGTGAGTTAGGTTTACTTTTCTTTTCCTCCAACTGACTATATAACAATATAGTTGACTTTTTGTTACAGCTTATATATTTTCACAGAGAATACGTAATGTGTTTATGAAGCACATTGGACATTGAGAGATAATGATTTCTATTTAAAATAATGGCAGGAAGAAAATATCATCTCCAGCAATGCTGCAATAAAAGTTACATATTTTGACTTGATTTAGCTGACTGATGAAAACAGGTAGGGCAAGATAGTTTAATAAATAGTACCTATTATTTAATACTATTTAATAATACCTAAACTAATACCTATTTAAAAAATAGGTAGGAAAAAATAGTTTAATAAAAAGATGGTTTCCTAGCAGGTTTATTTTGATTAGTGAAGGGAACCTTTATAACACACAACTGTACTCTGTGATTTCATGAAAGCATGTTTCTAATCCAAATATGAAGTTACCTAATGTACTGCAGTCATAACCAAAATTGGCTTCCTTAAAAGAAAGATTCACTTATCAACACAGTTGAGAAAGTTGTTTTAAGATAATCCTAAAATATTACTAAAACCATTAAAATTGTAGCAGCAAAATGAAGTACACCTGAATTCAAATCAGAAGCTCCACTAAAAATTCTATTTGAATTATTTTGCTAGCATTTAAAAAATTTATCAATGATAAGCATCTATGAATGATGTCAGTACCACAAACTAATTCCTTCAATTTATAAAAATAGTGAGAAAAGAAAATAGTTGTTAAGAGAAATTTTGAAAACCCAGACACCCAATGCATTAAGGTATGTCTTTTTAATTCATTTCCTTTACAACTAGTGTAATTCCAAGGCATTCTCAATAGTTCTGTTTTCTTTAATAGTTTTATAAAATATCCATTCATCTATCCACTTATCCATTCATGCATTTTTACATTAATTTGCACTATTATTTGTAAAATGTTTGAATATTAATCTTTACTTACTGGGAAAATGTTTGGGGGATACAAATATTTTGGTGTGAAATTGTAAAAAATGGGAGGATGTGAACTAGAGGCAGAGAATTAGATGTGCATTCAGGTTAATAAGTTTAATAAGTTTTTTAGTTTGAAGGGCAAATAGAAGTAAGGTTTCAGCATAGCAAAATGGCCTCTATAGTGAGAAACTGGAGGCATCATGCATTGTTATTTAAGATTAGGATTAACTTTCATCAGAGTATTTCCCACAGCTTAGTCCTGTCATTGGAAAACCATGTCAGAGGGCCATGGAGACTGAAGCTCACAATTGCTGCCAACAGGCCTCAGATCAAAGGGCTGACACCCAGTTTTGTAATATGATTTGTGCACTTGGATAGTTTATAAAATGTGATTTATTTTTTGGTGATCTAATACAAATCAGATTGAACAAATTACATTTTCTATTGTTCCTGTGAATTGCAGTATAATTTCCCTGTACATATTTTACTGAGCAGTACTACAATAATTTTTATTTTCCATTTATTAGTTTTTTCTATTATGAATTCTGATTTTAATATGCTAAGCATATGGGTGAGTGAAAGGGTGACTATTTTCTTCCTTTTATACTCAGAGCATACTGAATTGAATGGCTTGTCTGGAAAGCTTTAGATAACATACTACTTAATGCTTAGGGAACACTAAATGGTTTTATTTTGGTTAGCTCATTTATAATCCAAAGAGGGTGTTGTGATATTGGCTTTGCTAAAGCTTCATAACCAATGGGAATGCTTTTTGAGTTGGTGTAGTGTGTCCTCAATGCTGGAATAATCCTGCTGGCCAGGACCCTGGAGCTGCACAAGACAGAAGAGAGTGCAGGAAACGGTTGTTTACACGTGCGTACCATTGAGAAGCTAGAGCAACTCCACAAGTCCAGAGGGTAAGAGTTTCATAACCTTGTGGTTTTCTGCTTCATTTTATACTTTCCTGTTGGAAGAGAACATGTGTTGATCTCAGAGTTTAAAAAAAAAAAAGACAGTTGCTTGCAAGATGTAGAGCAAATCTGCTATTAGTCTGGGAAACAGGACTGAAAGTTTCTTTTAAAATGGACTGATTTCATCCTTTACTCTTCTACTTTTTTTCACTCTGAGTGTTATTTACTCTGACATCTTGTCATATATTTTCTGCCTTTAAAAAATTACTGTACTAAACAAAATTCAGGGAAGAGCTGCAACTCTAAGATTAGACACTAATAGAACAGTTTGATATTGAACAATAACTCTAATTCCATATGGATATGAATTAGTCTGTTTTTAAAGTAATGTATATTTTTAGAACAGGAATCTAAAATTATCATACAGACTGTACTTTTCATTTTGAGAATTTTCATATTGAAATACTGTTGTTATTAACTTTAAACATAGTACTAGTAATGAATTTTTAGTTTTATCTGCATATTGTGGAGGAGATAGAAACAGAGGATAAAATGATAAAATCTACTTGGTAAAAGAAAATTGACATTTAATTACATAGAAATAAACTGTGGAACTAAAGAAAAAAATCTTGGGAAACATTTGAGAAGCACTAGTTTATGCTTTTTGCAAAAATCAGTGTTCAACTGACTAGTGAGCATGTAAGTCTATAGGTAAATACATAGTTAAGGAAAAATATTCTGAAAACAATTAGCAATATTTAACATTTGACATCAAACTACATAATGATCTTTCTTCATAATCTTATTTTATCAACACCAGTTTTTTTCCTGTTTTCTAAACTCATATGAATATATATTTGCTAAACTTTTTAATGGGAGTATTACAACTTTCAGTGTTTTCTTGTTTTGTTGTTAATAAACTGTTTTCTCATCCACAAACTTACCTATACAACATCAAATATGTTTAAATTGTAATTTTTTCCTATTTTTATGAAAGTATTACATTAGAATCTTTATAAGCTAGTGAGATTATATTTGTATGTTTTGTGATTTTGCAAAACAATGTATTTAAAATCTCTGGAAAAATATAGAAAACTAATTTATGTGAATTGCTTTGGTGTCCAAAAGCTTTAAAAGTAGTTCTGTAAAACAATATTTAATTTTCTCTTTTTGGCAATATCCATATATTTTCATTGGATTCAATAATTGCTTAATCCCTGGGACATAGTTTCTTGTATCTCACTATCAATGAGTCCTCTAATTTATGTTTCATCTGAGTATTAGAGCCACAAAGATAATGACTGTGATTGCCAAGTCTGTGAAAAATGATTTCAGGCCACATCTACTTGAAGAAGTATCACATGTTTTTTAAAAATACAATTTTATAGGGTTAATTGAATTTAGCCAAAGCTTTACAAAGTCCCCCTCTAGTAGGGATATTAATGCTGAAAGATTTAAGTGGCTTTGAAAGAGCTCCTTTTTCTGAGCTAAGTATTAGGAAATTAGTGAACCTTAAGTAATATCAGAAAGCAACAAAAGAATATTTACTTTGTAGAAGCAGTTGACATGAAAGATTTTGAGACATGAACTAGCATAGAGCATGGATTAATAATGATGAGTAATCTATGTGATTGGAGCATAAAAATGCACTTTTGTGAGTAGCAGGTATTGTGCTCAGTAAATAAAAACATGAAAAATTTTGGAACATCTTAAAACTCACACAGAGTATTTTTTTTTTATTTTTGATTGTACAATGAGGCAACTATAAGTTCCTGAACAGAGAATGAATATTTTTTCAACATTTTTACCACCACCACCATCACTCTGCTAACACAAAAAGCAGCATTTCTTATGTGCAAGATTGTAAACTGATCAACATACATATCCATAGTTTAGGCGGGCACTAATCAAATTACCTTCATTTACACATTAGCTCCATTTTACACTTGAAGAAACTTGGCCTTCAGAAATGTTAAACAATTTACTTAAAGTCGCAGATACAGTTAGTTCTGTAACCAGAATTCCAAACACTGTCTTCTGTCTTGAGGTCCATTTCTTCCATGCTGCACTGGTATTTTAGGAATATGACCCTGATGGAAGTCAAGGAGAATCAACTGAAACAGTCCTTGGAATAATAGGATGTGGAGGGAAGTTAGTAAGACAACAATCTAAAATTTGACTCCAATATTCCATAAAGCTAAATAAACCACACTTTTTTCTGGTGATTCATTATTTCCTTTGTCATGAGAGAAAAAATTAATACTGCAAACAAGGAATAAATTTCACATTTAAGTTGGTAGTTCTCGTATTCAATGCATACTTACTCTATTTTATGAGTTTTGTATTCAGGGAAGATATTTTTGACTGATCAGAGAAAATTTTAGAACTAATTTTTATTGAATTATTAGCCACAAAAGAAATACTCGAATGAATGGGATGAAAGTGCATACAGAGTGGCCGTGATGTTAAGGAAGAGCAATTATCTAAAGAAGCAGAAGTACTACATTGATGGTCATGATTCCGTTGAGTAGCTTAGCGGGCAGTAAGATGCAGGACGCAGACCGGATGTCAGCGCATGGACAGTTCTTCTATATAAACAGGTTTCTGGGTGTCCATGAGACTGACACATGGTGTAGCCACCTGTCTTCATTTTATTTCTCTTTACCAAGTGAAACAGAATAAAAGATTTTTTTTATCAACAGGGATGACACAAGGAAGATATAATTTTGAAGCTAAAAATGGATGGAGCTTAGTAAACTGGGTAGTGAATTCATGTGAGAAATAGGATAGAGTTAGCTAGTAGTTGAGTCCTTTGAGATTCAACATCAAGAATTTGAAGTGAGACGAAAGGACATACTTTCTTCAAGCTTGATCAGACACTGTGGTTCCGGTAACTAGGGTTTTCAAAGCAGGTGAGGTGGACACAATGTTGTGCAACCTGGGGCGAATTTGTTAATGAAATGCAGAATAGTGGGGAGAATGAAGTAAATGAGAGATTGCAAAGGCACAAATAGAGAATTATAGGAGCTCCAAGTTGGGTCAAAGTGGAGAAATATGGAAACCAATAGCAAGAGGTAGTGTGTAGTGTTTCTTATTAATATGGGAAGAAATACTAGCATGGTGAGGCACTTAAATGTTTGTTTTGCAAAAACATATTCAGTCCCTTTGCTACTTTGCCAGTTTAAATCTCAGTAGGTACAGTAGCTACATTTAGTTATTCATTCCCATGCCAAGACTGTTGTCTTGTCAAGAAACTTACTCACTTTTCTTCCCTTTGTTTATATCAGATTTTGACTGGTCCTAAGAACTGTATTGGAGAACAATCTTTAGGCAGGGATAAGTTTATGACAGAATTTTTTATATTTAACAAATTGTAAGTCTACAATTTTTCTAAGTGTTTACTCATTTGCCAAAAACAAAATAAAATTATATTTAATAGTAATGCTCAGGAAATATGAGTTGATAATATTATTTTTTTCTTTTATGTATAATGCAGCCAATATTTTAACAATGATATATATTTTTAAGTTCAATCATTTTTTCAAACAGTTGAACAAATGGCTTTAGACACGTTTTATTGGGAATTGTCGATCAGTGCTTAGATAAGAATACTGAGCAGACATATCCAGCTTTTCAAGGAATGTCTGTTTTGCTTTGATGTGGGTAATACAATGTCACCTATTCTGCTTAATGTGATCACATGGCAGAAAATAAAAGTGTTCTTCTCATGGCACTTAAATGGCAGATAAAGCTCCTTTAGTGTATATTTTCATTATCAGTTGAATGTATTTTTAAAGCATAGCTTTGCAAATAATGTCTCAAGTGATCATCTTAATTAGAACCACATACCAGAAACTTGCATAAGACAGTGTAGAAATGCGGCCAGAACACAATGAGCATGCTTTAAAAATTGCAACATATTGTTTATGTCTCTAAAATTATTCATGAAAAAGAAATTTTTATCCTCTACAGTTGCATTGTCTAGTAGAAATATACTTCCATCATCATTTGCAATTTAAAGCAGCTTCCCTACAAATTAAAAATAAATTTTAAAAAAATGAAATTAATGTCACTCTTATTTAACCTGATATGTCAAAATATTAACATTTCAAAATGCAGTAAATATGCTGAGGATATAGTTCAGCTGCAAAGCACCTGCTTGGCAAGCATGGAGTTCTGAGTTCAACTGCCAGTACCTCCTCCTCCCCAAAATGTAAATTCTTAGTGAAGTAAATTACAATTTTATTTTCCATAACAAGTCTATTTCATATTGACAAAAAAATCTCAAATTGTAACTACCTTCATTTCAAGTGGTCAAACATGTGGCAGGTCCTACCATGTTGAATGGCACTGTGAGTCCTAAGGTAAAATACTGTATGAACACTTAGAAAGTATTCTCATAGCAACCATAGATCAGTATAAGGCATTATATTTATCTCTTTGTTGTAATTGAATCCAAGTAAATTTGAATGACCTTCAAAGATAAGACTTTTGCACAGGTAAATCATTGTTCCCAGGGTGCTGCTATTCAATTTTGATGTCATCCTTATGTATTTGTGCTATCTTGATACTGACAAGTATGTAAAATATAATGCCTGATGAAATAACCAGGGCCAGCAGTTTATGTGCCTTCTATCATTTAAGAAAATGTCACGATTTGGAAGTTCAAATAGGTGTGAAGAGAAGCCATGATGAAAACAATGAGACAATTCTGTGAATATGTGCAATTTAGTTTTTTATCAGTCAAATGAAGTATATAAACCTGAGAAATCAAGGGATATTTAAGATCAAAAAGTAAAAGTTGGGATTTGGGGGGCAATATAAAATAATGTAATTAGTGGAATTAAAAGGAAAAGAGTTGAAGAAAATACTCATAGAATAGGAGGCTAAATAATAAAAGCAACTTTTTCATAAGCAGGAGTGTAGTCCTATCTTTGACTCTGTAGATTTCCTTGAACGTATATTTTCTATTTCAGAGTCTGGAAGTCTAGATCTTTTGAGAAATA